AGTCTCCTACAATTTTTTTATTTTTTGGGAACTTGGCTTTCAACCTGAAAGCCGATTGTATTGCCTTTTCTACCTCTTCTAATGGCATCTCCAACCAGAGGGCTAATTCTGTTGATAATTTTTCTTTTATATTTTCTCCCTGGGCTTCAGGTATACCTCTCATCCTAAGATTAGCCTCCCTCTGTCTTAGTTCGTTCATTGCAATCCAATCTTTCAAATCTTCTTGACTTTTATTCAAATCCAGTATCTCAGCTTTGATTCTTTCTTCCTCACGTCTTACTTCCTTCAATTCAACTTTTGTCTTTTTCAGACCCTCCTCTACCGTCTGTGTCCTCCTAAATACCTCTTTCATTTGACTTTTCAGTTCGTTAACTGTTTCGTCTAACTTTTTGTCCACTTCCCCAATTCTATGTTCTACTTGTTCTAGTTTGCGCTCAACACTTTTCTCGCTCTCTTTTATCTCCGCAAACATTCTTAGTATCTCTGCTCTGAAGTCCCCTTCTTGCTTTGATCCCTTCCTGTCCACTGGCGTTCCCCCTTCGGGTCTTTTCCCAGTATTTGACATTCTTAAATTTGGAAGGAAGCCTGAACTTAAAACACAATATGGTTACAGCACTCCAGAGCAATTACCTGTTCGCCTATTTGACCCCGGCTCTCAGTTTTTAACAGTCTTTAAGTCATACAGAGGTCGGCATATTTAACAGACATTTAAGAGTCTTTGAGTTGCAAGGAGGTTGGCTAATTCTTTTCGCCCCGTTGCATCCTTGGGAAAATCTGTAAAAGTCCTAAAGTCTTAAAGTTCAAAAAAAAAAAAAAATTAGAGGGTCTTGTATTCGCTATAAGAAGTGTACTTTCAGTCGGCACAGACGGCACAGTGAATTCTTAAAGTTTTTCCAGGGGAATTAGTTTGGAGTTAACAAATAAAGGGTTCTCCTTCAAAGATCCCCAGTCCGTTCTGTCTGGAAGAAACCGTAGGGGGGAAAGTTGAGAGAGGGGAGGGGGAGGGGGGAGAGGGAGACCAGGGGGGACGGGCACAAGACTGCAGGGGTGGAAGAGAGGTGGAAGAGAGCAGAGAGGGGAAGACAGGGTCAGAATGAACAGTTTCAATCGCAGTAAACACTCTGTCCGCTAGGTGGCTCTCTCTCTCTCTCTCTGCTGGTTTTGGAGGTAGACACACCGCATGAATAGACTAAGTAGTCCGGCAGCACAGAGTAAAGGATTGTTTCCCAATCATACCCCGTCGTTAAGCAGTCGTCAGAAATTAGGAGACACAAACACACCCAACTCTTCACCGTGTACCAGGAGACGGATGAAAGCACCTCCACAAAGAGTTTTAGATCAGGTACGTCTATGTTGCTAATTTGCAGCTGTGTGCGTTTTCCTCTCGCTAATGGCGCCGCTGACGCTTCACTTCCGCTTTCTCGCTGGGCTTTACGCAATGGGGATGGCGTTCCAGCGTCTCTTTTCGTTTTTACAAATGGTTTTGTGTTAATAACTTCATCTTCTGTTCCCTGTTAAGCACCTCTTTTTTAAAGAGGGTCCGCTGTATTTATATAAAAGTCTTTCAGGGAAACAAAATGTGCACTAGTGGCAGCTCAATGCGCTTGTCTCCGCTCTGCAGTTTCTCTGCGTTTCCGCCGATTCCTGGTAACGGCTGAACCCTGTAGTTTTGCTTTTTCTCTCCCCGGGGTTTTAGTTTTAAGGTTTTTGAGTTATTTAGCCTTCACTTTGAGCCCGTTCCCGGGATCTTTGCTCTTGGAAGCGGAGCGCTAATCTCCGGCGAGGACTGGGCTGTCCGCTGCTCGGGGGGGGAGAAAATGGCTGCCTAGGACCGATTGCTCAACGCTCAACACCGCTGTTCTCCTCACCTTTGCAAGGGTTGCCTGACAGCGGCGCGAGCCGGTCTCAGCTGGCTCCCTGTACCTCCGGACACCCTCCGGACGCGTTTCTGGGGTGCTCTCGCCCTCTAGCACCCCCTTTCCCCCCCGTTTGTCGGACTGGGTTCGCGCTCCTGGCCGAATCCCTTCTCGCACCGGAGACGCGCGCCACCGGAAGTCCCCGACACTGGTGTTTGTGTGTGTTTGTCTCCTGCCCTCACGCTCTCTCTCTGCCACAAGACACCCTCCCCCATTTTTCCATAGTCCCTAGTTGTATTTCCTCGCTTTCTCACTTTCCCCTTTTTTGCGATCCTCCGCTGCCCCCTGCCGGCTGCTTTCTTCCCTGGCTGAAATGGAAATCAGGTGATTTCTAGGAAATCCTTCAAGGGACCAGTTGAAGCAAGTCACGGGTTGCAAAAAAATGGTCAAGGTTCCCACTTATGTCACAGCTTTGGAATCACTGCAAGTTGGTGTATGCCTACCTATCGTATGGAAAAGCGGAAATATATAAAACTTACAAATCACGTAATTAGGGAAAAAAACTACGGGATTTAGAGTATGATGAAAGTAAAACAACATATTAGAAAGAAAAACACCACTGCGGATATCCCCAGTGGAAGCTACAACCAGGGTAAGAATATGGATAAGCAGTGGTTAACTTACAGTGAAATTTTAGATCTTACAGGACAAGAACCAAAACTGAGAAATCTCAAGGAATCAAGAAATCTGGTTACGGATTGGCTACAGGTTGTTAGAGAAATTCTGGGAGCGAGGATACTTAGCAGTCCCAGCTGGTCGGGCAGAGTCCGTGGGTTCTCTCGGTCAGCAAAGGAAGGGGCCCCAGCCAGAAACCAGAGCAAAACAGTCATCAATAGATCAAAGTTTATTGCATAACAGGTTCAAACAATGGAAAGAACCCTGAGAAAGGGGCGACATTGACTTTTAAAACTTCCCACCAATAATAACAACAACAACAACAACAACAACAACAACAACTTTCATTTATACCACACCCTCCCAGGCCAGAGCCGGGCTCAGGGCGGCTAACACCAATAAAATCACAGTAAAAACATAATAGGGGGAAAAGGGGGGGACGACACAAATTTAAAATACAGGTTAAAATGCAATTTAAAATGCAGCCTCATTTTAAAATAGCTGATAAATCAAGACCATAAGGGGAGGGAAACATAAGGGTCAGAACGAGTCCAAACCAAAGGCCAGGCGGAACAGCTCTGTTTTGCAGGTCCTGTCAAGTCTCTTGTGACAGAGCGTTCCACCACGTCGGGGCCCATGCTGAAAAGGCCCTGGCCCTAGTTGAGACCAGCCTAACCACCTTGAAACTCGGGACCTCCAAAGTGTTGTTATTTGTGGACCTTAAGGTCCTCCGCGGGGCATACCAGGAGAGGCGGTCCCGTAGGTACGTGGGTCCTAGGCCGCATAGGGCTTTAAAAGTCAAAACCAGCACCTTAAACCTGACCCTGTACTCCACCGGGAGCCAGTGCAATTCCCAGTGGGAAAACTTCCTCCTGGGTTTGTGGACTTTCAGGGCAACCCTGCCTTGGTCACCCCCAACCACCACACTCTGCCCCAGATCAGATATCTAAACATTTCTTTTATTATATTCCCAACCATCCTTTCTTTCGTCCTGGAACCAAAGGCAGCATCCAGGTGGTTCCCCAATCCAGGCACTGCCCAGACTCCACACCCTCTTGGCCTCATGTAACTTAATCCCACCCCTGCAAAGCCAAAGATTATGTCCCCATCTCGCTTTGGACACTAGTTCTTTAGTCACTTTGCAAGGGAAGAACAATTATTGGACCTCCCTGCCAGAGTCTGTGAATATTCTCAGGAACTTCAAAATCTCTGGAACTCCTGTGATAAGAAGGCAAGAACCACTAAAGACAAAGGGGACGCACCCTTATTTAAGTCAAACATATATTACAAAAGTTTTTTTTTAAAAAATGCATCCTGTCTTCAAAGCAAGGTGCAGCAAATCCACTGGGTTAGGCGAGAAGAGTCCTGCGGCCCCTGGAGGTCTCCTTCCTGGCTTCCTCCTTGGCAGTCAGCAGGATCAGTCCCTCTCATCTCCTGTAGGAGAGTCACTACACCCCATCCCCTCAGCCTCTCTACCTCTTTCTCAGTTCCCTGCTTCTCCGCTTCCCCCTTTAACTGCTTCTTCCTCCCCCTCCAGCCTGGTTCTCAACTCACTGCCCCAGGGCATCATGGGAGGCCCAGGGTGGAGCCCCAGAGAACAGCAGCTGGTTGTCCTGGACGTGGAGCTCCATGAACCAGGCTGGAGAACTGGAGCCTTGAAGGTATCGGGACAGAAAGAGGGTCTGGAGGAAACTGCCTCAGCAGCTGCCATTGCCACGGGGAGGGTCTGAATGCCCCCTGGAGCTCCTCATTCCCTGCTCTGCCTGAGGATGTTTGAAGAGAGGCCGCAACTCCAGCAGAGGTCACCTCTGGACCACTCTGGATCTAGTCAGACAGGACAGTGAGGTTCTGGGGATGCAGGAGGTGACCCAAGAGGGCTGGTGGTGGACGTCCCTCCCATCTGGGCTCTTGGTCAACACAGACAAAACCCCTCCATATCCAGATGTTGTAACTGGAGATGATGTCCTCCTTGGCTTCTACGGGATCAATGGCCAACGTCTGTCCTTCATCTTCTGAGGCAAACTTGCAAGCTTCCAGATTAGAATAGGATCCAATTCTGACAGCCTCTCTAGTCTTCAGCCACTCAGTTCCTTATCTTTCAGTTTAAACTCCTGAGCATCTAAGTATCCCTCCTCCCTACCAACCATCCCTCCCTGCCAGTTTCTTCACTCCCTCACACAGAAGGTGGGTTGAAAACATTCAGCCAGAGCAGTTAGGCTGCCTTTATACATTCCATGACATTACATCCGTTTAGCCAAAGGCTGGGTGGCCCAAGAAGCAGGTCAGCCGTAACAATTTAGCCTATTTCACAGATAATACACCCAAAGCAGTTCTCAGATGTTGCCTTTCCTTCAATTTGGATAGAAAGTGAGTGACATAAGATTGGGGAAGGGCTTGTGGAGGGAACCACAGCAACAAAAAACCAAGAGAAATCATCAACATCACTGCAAGTCATGCTCAATCTCCTCATCCCTTTTTAAAGCTTTTAGTTGCGTATATCTGGCACATTTCTGATTAACACAAGCACATTTCTGAAAATCAGCTGCAAAGCACAATCGGCCAAAATCCATCAGAAAAACGTGATCATCCTCAAATTCTAGTTACAGATGGAGTCAGAATAGATGGGTGAGAGCCAGGATTAACGAGTATCATAAACAGCATTGAAGGACGGGAGCGGCTCTGAGCCTCTGCAATTCACAGCCAAACTTGGGCAGGCTCCTTCTGGTCTCATCTCACACACTGGGCTGGTATGAAACTGCAGAAATAAAGAACAGGAGTGTTTCAAAGTTAAGCCAACATCATGGTGTGAGGGTATCAGCATAGCAGAGCTAGTGGGAACCCAAAGGCCGTCTAGTCCAACCGCACAAAGAAACCCACCATCCCTCATCATGTCAGATCAGATGTAAGATATGCTAGGAGCATCACCAAAATGGGCCTGCAGAGCAAATGCCTGCAGAGGGCAGCTCAAGCAAGTGAGCCAAGCTGCACACTTTGGGGGAATAACAGAAGGACACAAAGCAGTCCTACCAGAAGGAAAAATCTATTCCAGAATGAACCCAAAATGTGACTCCCTCTTATTCAGATTCTGGGGAGAACCCATTTGTCAGATGGAGGGGATCCTCTGTGGAGCTCAGATGGACAGACAGAATGAGTCCCAAGCGCGATTTTCAGCTCAATGAACACTGCAGATTATGTCACTCTTGGAAACCCCAAGGGGGGTAACAGAAGAAGGTTTTCCCCATTTGAGGATGTTCCCCATGGAGTCTTCTGCAAGAGACCCCCTTTGCCCCCACCTGCCCCCCACTTACCCTTGGTGGAGCTGTCGGACCCCTGATCATTTGCTGCAAGAGAGGAAACACAGGAATCAGGATCCTGGGGAGGGAGATCCCACCCCCCAGCCCTTCTCCTCCCTCCTTCCAACCCCATCCCAAATCAGGCTCAATATGGGGAGGGGCCTAAGAAGAGTTCAGGGACAGGCAGCCCAGAGGCAAGGGGGCTCAAGGACAGCACTGGAGGGAGAAGCAGGTGCTGGAGGGCAAAGAGAGATGGGCACAGCCTGGCATGGAGGCAGTGGGGGACTAGAGCGGGGGTGGGTGCGATCTGGGCAGAAAGGCAGAAGAGGGGGGAGAGCAATGGTGGGTTCCTAACACCCACAGACTTGAGCCACCCAACCAATTCTTTAGCTTCAGGTTCTAGTAGATTAAACCCCCAGAGATCCCTCTCTCCCCCCACTCTGGGCTCTTCCTCCTGCTCCTTCCTGGAGCCCCTCCCTCAGCCGACAGTCTCTCTGCAGCCTTTTCCTGGCCCTGAGGGACCCCTTGCTGTCCACAGACAGGCTGAGCAGACAGGCTGAAGCTTCCCATCAGGGTCTTGGGCTTCAGGACCAGGCCACCACCAGGTTTAGTTTGGTCTGTTTGTAACCTGTTCCTGCTCCATATTGGGGGGGGAAATAGACAGAAAAAGGGGAGGAGTCACTCACTTGGGGTTTTTTCGTAGGCTAATTTCTCGCTCCGTTTCCCTGTGAAGACAAAAGCAGAAGGTCAGAGCTGGAAGGGACCTCCAGAGGCCACACAATTACATTTTGACAATCTGGCTCTCAGATGCTGAAACCTTCCCAGCAGATGCTCCTCTTGTCTCTTCCAAACACCTCCAAGGAAGGGGAGCCCAGAAGGGGAGCATTTCAAGGAACTCATGTTACAAAGAAGTAGAAAAAAATAAGGAAATTAAATAACAAAATCAACATGAAAGCCAGGCAGTGGACAAATTCCAAGAGGCTGGAAGGAAACATTATCCAGTCCCTTCACTCATTCCTTTTCAGATTATTATTTCACTCCCAGCAGACCCCTAAATTTGCCCAGAGAGGGTGGGGAGAAGAGATAATGAACTTTAACAGTGCAATTCTAGGCAAGTCTGCTCAGAAGAAAGTCCTATTCAGTTCAATACAGCATCCTCCCAGATCAATATTTATTTATTCATTTATTGAAGATAGCAGGGCGGTTCACAACATAAAAATACAAAATGAGAGCACAAAATACATAATAAAGGAAAAACAAACCAGTAACTCTGCTCCCACAAACACATTTAAAAGGCCAAAGGCCTGGTTAGAGAGAAAGGATTTTGCCTGGCACCTAATGATTTGTAAGGAAGGCTCCCTGGTAAGTGTGCACAGGACCGAAGGCTTAGGATGGATTAAAACATCAGGTGGGAAGTGAACTTCCTGAGCACAGAGTGAGCGCAAAGCAATGACCAACAGCACTTTTGATTCATGTTCAAAGGGTGTTTTATGGGGAGGGGTCTCTGTAGGGATGCCAGCGACAGTTTCCAGGAAGCTCCACCAGCACATTCCCAGTCAGAGGCCAAGACAGAAGAACACAGGAGAGGCAGAAAACACGTCCAGGGTTTACTTACTGCGGATGATGAAGATGATGATCCCAGAGATCCCAGAGACCAGCAGGATAGCAGCCACGACGGCTCCCACAATGAGCCCCAGGTTACCTAAAAGGAGGCAAGAGACATTTTTATTCAGACTGGTGGCAGGAGCTCCCCAAGGCCTCAAGCAGGAGATTTGAGTGGAGGTGCTGAGCTATGAGCCCGGGAGGATTTTACGTGTGCAAAGCAGGCCCTCTTTCTCCCTCCTAACAGGCTAAGGTCTTCTCTGTAGTGGCCCCAATACAATGGTCCTTCTCCCCACCAGAGTAAAGGATCAGAGGTCTTCAAAATAACCAATTCATTTAAGGAAGACAGTTGACAGGCACACCTGTTTCATCACAGACTCAAGACTTAAAAGCAGCTCTCCTCCTGCTCAGGTGCTTCAGCCTTCTCTGTCCTGACCCTGAGAGGAAGGGATTCCCTCCCCTCTGAGACCCCCCAGAGCCCAGCATTACAGGCCTTCAGGGAAGACACAAACCCTTAGGAAGAAGCATCTTGTGTAGGGTTGCCATATGTCCAGTCCTTTTTCAGACTTAAAATGTCTGTCCAGACAAATTTTTTAAATGAGGCAAAATGTCCAGGTTTTTTTTGTTTGTGTAGAATCTCTGACGTCCGTAGCGCTAGTGAGTGAGCCCTGGTCCCCTCTGCCCTCCCTGTGTGAGTCTTTGGCTCAAGGGCCGCTTCCATAATTCTCGCTTGCCTGCCTGTGAGAAGGAGTCTGGGGTGTGGGTGGGGATGTGCGTTCATGCGCTCCTGCTGGAGAAAAGGGAGTCTTGCTCTTAGACATTCTGCTTTGGTTCATGCAGGCACAGCTTTCCTGGCTCTGTGTGAGAGACAAGCATTACTAGAAACCCTGCTTGCTCTTCCCAGCGGTGTGCGGATGTTTGGGCTGAGTGGGGATGAGTATCAGTTTTTCTAGGTGGGCGCGAGTGTGAGGAGGAGCGAGTGAGAATCTTTATCACTGTGAAGTACAGTCAGTCTGGGGCTCCCTCTTTTAAGTTCACTGCCCCTTTTTCAGTCACAGAGAGTGTCAGTAAATCAGCCATGTGGAGGAGGTCGTATTATTTTGAAGAAATAACACGTCTGCCCACATTCTGTGGCATGACAACAGCTTGGGCTTAAAGTCAAAAAGGTGACAGCCAGTTTTTACCTACGACATCCAATTTGAGTTTAAGGCCTATGAGACCCTTGTCAGAAAAGGCTGCATCTCTGCTGAAATCTACAGATTCCAATTCAGCTGCTTCCCTCCAGAGACACTCACAGGATCCAACTGGGGTTCCCCCTCTGAGCTGTGCTGCTGCTGAAGGGAGGAGTTGGGTGGAAATCCCCCTCCCAGAGCCCACCCCTTCCCCTCCTGTCTGTCTGTCTCTCACCAGGCTCCTTCTCCCAGGCCACGTCCAGAGGCTTCTCCAGGCTGTCATGCTCCACGCGGCACCGGAAGTGCTCCCTCTCCTCGGGGTCGATCTGGACGCTGAGCAAGAGATAGTAGGTCCCGTCCGAGTTGGGGGCGACCAATCCTCGGAGGGTGCCCTCCTGCCAGACCTCCCCGTCCTTCACCCAGTTGGCCTCAATCTCCTTGGGGTAGAAGCCGTGGACTTGGCAAACGAGGGTCTCCAGGCCGTCATAGTCTGCCTTCCTGGTCACCTTCACCACTGGAGCCTCTGCAAAAAGGGCAATCATTAATTGGGGTTAATGATAGACATCCACAACGGGAGCCTGAAGGAATCCTGTATTTTTTAAGAGCAGAGACCCAAGGGGCAACCTAGTCGCGATCTCACATCTGCATAAATTAAAAAGAACTGTGAATAAATGGGATTTCCTCAACCTCCCTTGGAATCTTCCCCAGTCAGTGTCTATGGTGGAACTATTTTTAGATGTTTTACCCTTTGTTTGCCGAAGCAGACTCCTTTGGGAGGGAGGACTGGGTATAAATTAATTTATCATCTTGAAAAGCTCTTGTGGTTCCAAGATTGTCCCAGGGAGCTGCCTCTAGGCTGAGGGGGCAAATTTCACCAGGCCCCCAATGGTGGGATTTATTCTGATCCTTCCAGGTTGCAAGTCATGAACTGAGGGCAGCTCAGGCTGATCCTGGTTCCCCTCTTGAGGCGGAAGAAATGCTGGACTCACTGCTCTCTGTTCTGCGGGACTTTTCAGCTCCATAGTTAGTGAACAAAGCCAAGAGCCCTGGGAAAGACAGAGCTCCTTTCTAGTTCTCCCGCCTGCCCTGAAAGGGTCCCTTGAAGTTGGAAAGGGCCCATCTCCCTTCTCCACGGCAGCCTCCCCTGGAGTGGAAAGGGCAGACCAGGAGGCCCACTAAGCCAGCAACTTGCACACATTTAACTTGTTCACGTACAGCTTTACACAGTTGCCAAAAATATTCTAAAAGAGGAGGTGGGTGTCTGGGGAAGAAGGACTTTGGCAACCCAATCGCCCTTGAATCCAATGTGTTTTGACTATACACAATTTTGGCTTTAGGCACAATTCGCAGAATGTAACCCTTGTTCAAAAACTGGCTCCCTGGGTAGCTGTTGTCTGAAGGGGCTGTTCCAGGATCCCACCCACTTTGCAGTGCCTGGACTGGAAACTCAGGTCTAGGAGGGGATGTGACTCTGCTGGGGGGAGCAGGAAGGAAGGAAACCCAAAACAAGACCTCCCCACCCCACCCCCTCACCTGTCCTCAGCAGAACCTCCATCCCAAAGAGGATGATTCCCAGCCTCCTTTGCACGTTATCACCCTTGAAAACACTTTATTGTGGGTTTTGGAGTGAAATCCTCAACCTCAAGAAATATGCTCCGTGTCTCTGGGGTGAATTATCACCAGGCCCCATAGATGAAATTGCTCAGATGTCTCTAAGCACGGCTAATACGTATTTGTCATTCCTCAAAAAGGAAGGGTGCTAGAATTATTTCATTTTTAATTAATATTCATATTAGCAAAGCTAATAGAGACAGGAAGAAAGCCAGTCAAAACCCTTGATCATGTGACTGGCCCCTGAGCCAGATTCCTGAAGGCGGAAGAGTAGACTGTACCATTTCAAGGCACGGGGTTGGGGAAGATGACACTTCTGAATGTTCCCCATGGAAAAAAGTACTATTCCTCACAAATAAAAAATATTAGAAGGTAGAAGAGGGAATGCCCATACTCTCTCACCATGTGCAGGATTTCTGCTTCTAGGCCACGAGTGGCTAACCTACAGACTTAGTGAGGGGGCCACATTTTCTATTTAAAAAAAGGTTAATTAATTAATTTTTAAATACTTTTTAGCGGGGCCAACTAAAAAATTACGTGAAATGTAAAAGTGTTCCAATGCTGTTTTTCGTCGTTTAGTTAAGATTTAAAAATACCAAAGGTAAATTATCCCACTCAGTAATCAGGATTACACGTGATTTTTTAAATAAGTTCAGTGGTTTTATTAGAAATTGTTAGTGTTTTGAAAATGTCCACTGGGGCGCTTTGATACACTCTAAAAGTGCCCCGCTCGTGTACAATAGTGCCCCAATATACAAGTTTGCATGAAATCTCTAAACTAATGTCCTACCTATGAAATTTGAAAAGAAAAAAACTGTTGTTGACTATGTGGGCAAAGTCATTTCTAAATATGATATGACCGATTATCAAGTGTCATATCTGAGGAAATATCCAAGATCTTGTATGTCTTCCCCAATGTAGACGATAAGGCAAGCGTTGATTTCAAGGAGGTTGTTTTGCCAAAACCAAATTTCTCAAAGGACACATCTCAAACATCATCTCTATACTTTTTCTTTTAACTTCAGTGGATATAATGTGCAATAAGCATTTTGTTTAAATTATAAGCATTTTGTTTAAATTACTATTTTTTGACTACCTAATGTGAGATCTTATACTTTTTAAAGGGCTGATTATGATCTCTCACAATAAAAAAAAATTTAATTAATTATTTGTAAATAATTGCCATTCTCATACAATTTACGCTTTGTATCAAAGTGCCCCATGCACTGTATCAAAGTGCCCTGTAGGTGGAGCAGAATGATACAAAACCCATTTTTTACTCAAGTCATTATATTCTCATTATCTTCTAACCTTAATGGTTCTTTTGATTGCTATTATAATATTAATTATAATTAATTTATGCCATGCATAAAGCAATTTTTTTAATTATTTGACTCATTTTGGTACATAAAATATGAGATTGAATTTTTCTGCATCAACCTGCCCCACTTTCCCCTACCCAAGTGTAAAGGCAAAAGGTTTTTCTGTATCCCGCCTCAAATCTGTCCATTTCAATTTTATTTTTTTACTAAATTTAAAACGCATTTTGCTTTCCTGGCCCCTTCCCTGCTGTTTCTGTGCCCCCTCCCCCCATTTGTCTTTTGCCATCCCTTATTCTAGCCAAAGGGGCATGGGGGGCTGTTTTTAAGCATCTCCTCCCCCCCCCACACGCCATACTCTGAAGTGACCCCTTTTCTCCTCCCAGAGGCCCAAACTTATTTCTGCTGCCCCCACCAAGAAAAGTGTTTGCTGTTTGGTCCAGTAAGGAAGACTGTTAAGGGGGGGGGAGGGGAATTTGTAGGGAAACTGCCCCACTGAGCCCCCTCCCCTCCCCACTGAGCCCCCCTCACCTGTCCTCAGCAGAGTCTCCTTCCCATAGTCCAGGTATCTCTGCAGCCACTCCATGCATTCCTCCTCCAGGTAGGCTTTCCAGTACTGGTTCCCGGCCAAGTCAGGATCCTTCTTCCTCTTGCTCACTTCGGCCTCCGTCTGGGCTGCTGTCCAGGTGAGGGTCTCCTTGTCAAAGGCGAGGAAGTCTCTCCCGTCGTAGCTGTATTGCTTATACCCTCCTTTGCGCCCCTCTGACCTCAGCTCACAGCCGTACATCTGCTGAAGGGTGTGGATCCCTGGAAGGACCAGAAGAGTCCCAGGAGGTCAGGGGGGGTCAGAGCAGCCCCTCCTCCATCAGCAAAAGAGCCCAGGAAAAAGGATTCATTTGCCTGAGAAAAATCAACCAGCATTGTATCTTTCTGAAGGCTCATCCACATAACACGTTCACTGAGGGAAACACTACAAGTTCCCCTTTAATTGCCCCCCTCTCATCGCCTCTCTCTCTCCCCCCCCCCTAATTCCTAGTGGATTCTCCCAACTCCCTGGAGGCGGGGGAGGGGTGGGGAGCATCCCTTGCAGGGTCAGAGGTCACAGTCTGTCGTCTTTCCCCCCAGCCCTGCTCCTCTGGATCTTGCCCCTTTGGGAGGGACGCCTCAGATGCCCCCCCAAAAGGGGGACACCCACACATGGGGGGCCCTTTCAAGAGAGAAGGTCTCCTCTTCCCCTCCATCTCTCTCCCCCCAGCTTCTCAATATCAAGGACCTTTTCCCTAAAAGGAGGAAAGTCTTGGAAGGGCCTTTGGAAAAAAAAGTTTCCTCATAGCCTGGGAGGGAAAGGGAAGCCGCAAGGGGGGTTTGCCCCACTTCAAAATGCCCCCCCCCCGGCCTTCTCAGCAGAAGCCAGGCTGCCCTTGTCAAAGATGGCGGGTCCCTGCATCCCCCTGCCCACCCCAGGGGGCTACCACTAAATCTTCAAAACAACAACAATAACATTTAAATAAATAAATAAAGAGATAGATAGTGTTTGCTGATGTTTTATGTACATTTTATGGATTTTTCCTGATTTTATTATAACTTTCTAGGTTGTATACTATCTTGATATACTTTTATGGAAAGTACATATTATAAATACTTTAATAAAATCTTCAGTCGGTTGATAATAAAAGAAGAGCTGGTTTTCATTAGCCAGTCCATGTCCACCAAATAAACCCTTCAGCAATGAACACATGATCCTTATACAGTGGTTCCTTGGATGTCAAACGGCTTGGCTCCCAAACACCGCAAACCCAGAAGTAAGTGTTCTGGTTTGCAAACATTCTTTGGAAGCCAAACTTCCAACATGGCTTCCGATTGAGTGCAGGAAGCTGCGCCTTGGTTGTCAAACGGTTCCGGGAGTCAAATGGGAGTGGAATCAACTGACTTTACTGGAAGGCAGCTCAAAGATCCAATACATCCCATTTATTGCTGTGGAAAGAGGTGCCATGGATAAATTTTGACCTCTGTTACTTCAGTCACAACTGGTTGAAATGGAAATATAGATTATTCTGCTCTCATTCAGACCACGTAACTGTGGGATGTTCTTATATATGCTAATGCTCGTGACTCTTAAATCTGCTCTTCAATTCCAGTATCTGAAGCACTGATCTGGTGTTTTCACTTGGCAGGTGGCATCACCCGGCACCCGCTGAGACCCCAGACCCCTGGCAGGGCCCACGGGTGCTGAGGACCCCAGCCCTGTCTCCTCTAGGCCAGCCAGCAGGGTCAGCAGACAGCCATTTTGATTTCCCACAACAAAACCATAGAGAGAAGCTACGTCAGGCACCCCAAGACAGGATGGGAATTGGCAATGGTTGCTCCTGGCCATGTACAGAGTTCTGTTGCTCTTTGGTAGCCTGAGGAAGCTCAGCAATGGAGGAGAGGCTGCCCCAGAGGACAGGTTGCTCTCACTTCTGATTTAGGCTTCCCCTTTCATCTCAGGAGCCCTTGGCTTACAGCTGAATTGAGTTTGGGTATAGAATGTCTTGCATTACAGAAGCCTCTCTCAACAGAAACCCTGCTTTCCTGGGCTGGATTCAGCTAACACAGCTAGTCTAAAAACCAAGTCTTACTTGCACAACTGGGGCTTTCTCCCCATCTCCTTCCCCACAAATCAGCTTGGGGGGGTCAGGAGAAGCCCCAGAAAGGTGTGCATGAGGAAGAGAAGGGAAATTGCCCCCTCTGGGAAGTAGAATTATTGTAACAGTGCTACTACTTTGGAGTCCTGCCTCTAGAACTCCTCAACATATAGAAGAAGAAGAAGAAGAAGAAGAAGAAGAAGAAGAAGAAGAATCTTCTACAATACCATGTCCCAAGGTGATATAGTTCTTTTTATGCACTCAAACAATGGTTTGTGGTTGACCTATGCAAACAGCAAACCAAACCAAACCACAAACCCCACCAGCTGGTCTGGATATGGAGCTTTTGCTTGGAGGGAAGTTTCTTTGTCTCATTGCTTCTTCAGCATAAATTGCTTTCTCCCTCATTTTATAAATGAAGCTCACTCCCCTCCCGTTTCCTCAAGATGTTAAGTGGGATCAATCACGATACACCTATACCTTCCACATTGTTTTTAAATAGAATCAGATAACATTTCCAGGGCTCTCCGTGGCACCTTTGAAGTGGCCACCTCATTAGTTTGGGATTTTCTGAGCTAAGCAATTGCAAGAAATGATCAAGAAACAAGAGGCGCCCCTTGGTGACATTTATGGGGCATTTTCCATGGATAGGTGCAGGGGCTCAGGAGGGACCCAATCCCCATTTTTAAAAGGGGGAGAAGCGGAATTCCAGGAGCCCAAGAGGAAGCCTGCAAGGCAAGGCCAGGCCTGATCCCACTGCAAGAAAAGCAGACCTGCCCATTGCAGCGCTGGCTTGGTCTCAGCTGACCCCCTGGGTTTCTTCCTTGCAAGCCTGACAAGGCCAACGAAGGCCCCAGAGGGCTCTGGACACACTCAGGCTGACCCCTTTGGCAAGGCTCCTTCCACCTCCATTATTCTGTGTCACAGGTGGGGAATCTCTTTGGCTTCAGGGCCAGATCCTGATCAGGATTGTCCCCATGGGCCAAAAGGGGCAGGAGGGTGAAGCTGGCATCATGGCATAGCCCACCCGTCAATCTCACCCACCTTCCAAAAGCCCTTGAGGGGGTTTCCAAGCACCCAGCAGGTGCGCAGCCTCTTGGGAACTGCAGCACAAGGGGCACTGCCTGCCTTGCACTCAGCACTTGGGGAAGCTGGCAAACTGCTTCTTTCTCATCTCCAGGGGAAGCCCTTCATTCAGGAGCAAATCCCCTCCTGAATCCGGAACATGAAGTCCTGCCAAACTGAGCAGGATTTTACTTCTGCTCATGGGGCAAATCCTACCCCCTGGCAGGCCAAGACTGGCCCACAGCCACAGGTTCCCCACCCCCGTTCTGTGCGGACATTATCGCTTGCCACTTGGGTCCCTGCAACATGGAATAGTGGCTTCAGCTGCATGGAGACTAGACGTGTTTGTTCCAGGAAACAGAAATCTTTGGGTCCATTCCCTCTGTCCCTGCGCTCCATTCATATTAATGGTAAGAGCTGCTCAACGGCGGAAAGGGCTCCCTTGGGAAGTGGTGGAATCTCCTTCCTTGGAGGTTTTTAAGCAGAGGCTGGATGGTCAACTGTCATGGATGCTTTAGCTGAGATTCCTGCACTGCAGAGGGTTGGACTAGATGACCCCTGGGTTCCCTTCCGACTCTACGATCCTGTGATTTTTTGAACTATTGTATAATTCTATTTTATTTATGCTGAAAATTATGCAGAGAAAAAACTGGGAGTATCTTAAAGCATCAATCGTAAACGTCTTTCTTAGGAAGTAAGCTCTTCCAGACACCTTAGGACTGAGCTGCTCGAACTGGCCTTAGGGTTAGTGAAGCCATTACAGGACATAAGAACAGCTTGGCTGCAGGATCAGAGGCCCATGGAATCTGATTTTTGGTGCCTGCTAAAAAGATTTATGTTAAACATAGATGTCAATGTTTAAATCTTTTTTCCTCTTAATCTTCATTTCCATAAATGTTTTAATTGTTTTTGTCTGTTGTTTTAAACTATATTTACCAATAATTTTAATATTTCTTACAAATCTGTTTAGAAATTTTAATGCAATGAAGTGTGCTTATGGTTTTAACCATGTAGTTGCCACTTTCACCCCCAGAAGCCAGTCCGTTCAAGTTCCTTAAAAAGGCTTCTCTTTCAACACTGTGCGGGGGGGGGGGGAGTGGGAGGGGCTTGGTGATGGTCAGAAGGGTCAGCCAATCAGCACCTCTGTCTGGGCAGCTGGCTTCTCCTTAAGCAGGACCAGAAATCAAGGCTTGCTTGTCTCAGCCTCAGGATCCCCACCCTTCTCTCTCCCCCCCCAGAGGAAAACGAACTAGACAGATTTCCACCTCAAAAAGCCTAAGTTGAGCCTAGCATGGAAGGAAGGGCAGGCAATGGAGACATTTCCTTGGTAGGATGTGCAGGTCCAGAGAGGGTCATACGGGGTGGGGGGGAGAGGTCTCCAAGTCTTGTTCTCTGTCCTCCCCACCCCACACCATCCCTGCCCACATTAAGACCTTCATGAAGGGAAGGGGAGATGCCTCTGCCCTGGTGGAGACCCCCACCCTCCATTTCCTTTCCTCCCAGCAGCTCCCTCCCTGCAATTCTGGCCCTTGGAGGAAACATTATGGGGGGGTGACTCTGTTCCTCTCCTGCCTTCCACTCACCTCCGCTCTGGTTGTAGCGATTCAACAGAGTCTGCAGATTCCTCCTGTACCACAGCTGATTGCCCTGAGCGATCTGAGTCTCCCTGTTCCAGTACTGAGGATCCTCCTTTTCCACCTTCCTCATCCAGGGGACTCGAGGCAGCATCTCCTTGGTGTCACTGTCATACTGAACAAATTGCTGGTCATCCACGTACCCCACAGCGATGAACTGGGGAAGCCCCTGGCCAGGCTCCGACACGGATGTGTGGAAGTAGCGCAGGGAGTGAGAAGTGGAGCCTGGAAAGGAAAAGAGAGGGGCAGAGATTTAGGGGTCCTGCAAATGAAGGCAGCAGCCAAATCCTGCTGTATTACAGGCAGCAGTCCTAAATCAGGAGATCCAAAGTTCAGCAGGGTTTGGGGGAGTTTGTAGACCTGCCCTTAAACACAGAGGAGGCAGAGCAGAGGGAGCCTAAGAATCAGAGAGCTGGAAAGGGGAGAGGATATAAATACAAGTAACCACAACAATCGCCCATGGAGCAGAGGGCGAGAAAAAGCTCTGCCAGGCAGCACTAAATCTCTGCATGTCTCTGCTGAGGCTCCGTGGGAGGGAGAGAGAGGCCAGCCCCTCCCCTTTTGCCAAGGGGGCAGGAATTGCCCCCCACTTGCAAGCGCCAAGCTGATGAGAGCTCCCACAACATGGTCTGAAGGCTCAGGATGCAGGCACCGAACGGAAGCTAAGCAGGCTCAGGTCTGGGAAGTGGATGGAGGGGAGACCAGACAAAGCAAAATCCGTAGACGGGAGAACAGGAAGCTGCCTCATCCTGGGTCAGAACACTGGTCCAGGTAGCTCAGAGTTGTCTGCCCTTACTGGGATGGCTCATATCTGCAGCAACGGGCCTAGGGAAGCCACTCCCTTGGAGCCGCCCCACCATCTGACCTTCTGGAGCCATGCACTGAACAGGTCTGACCTGGGTCTTGCTTCCTGGGCTCTGGGAGGCTTTGGAAAGATCTCCTGGGAACTCAGGACAGCCCCACAAGATCCTGTGAGAACCTGCCACAGTCTCTTATGCAAGGCAGAGAGCTGCAAAGCTCTTTCGGTACTGGGAAAACCTTGCACAAAAAGAGCTCTCTGCCTTCTGCATATACAATTTGTGTGATTCCAGCATACAGTTGAAATCCTTCAAGTTAAATGCATTCCAGTTGCTAGTTTCCTGCACTTTCCACCAGTTTTCCAGGGACAGATGTCAAGTTAATTGGCCTGCAATTTCCGAGACCCTTCCTGGATCCCTTTTTGAGAATTGGTGCTTAAATGATCCAATGTTGCAATCTTTCAATGGTCTGAGCTGCCACCCACAGAGCGGGTTCCCCACTTGAGAAAGAAGGCCCCCCAGGGATAGCAGGGGCAGGAGGGCAAATGCAACTTTGGGGTCAGGTTCTCAACATCCCCTTTCCCCACACTTGCCCCTTCACAAGATCGAACACAGGAAGGGGGGCAGAGCGTGGCAAAGGAAGAACCTTATCCCCAAAAGGGCTCACTTTCCCACAGGCTGTACCAGCTCTGGCCACCAGGGGGCCTAATGAGTCTCCACAGCAGATCCCCATCAGAAGCAATTAACTTTTGTTCACATCCATCAGCAGATTTTGCTGTTTCTGCTCACTCCCCACACTCCTTCGTCTTCCCAAGTCACAGTGAATGTGTACTAAGGGGGCTGTGTGCCTCCTTTGCGCAGGAGGAAAGAGCCAAGGCTCCATGGTCCTCGTAATCTTCTCTAGGGTACAGGATGAACCCCACAGAGAAGGCCCCCCAAGACAGCTGCAGCCCCTTAATTCCCACCAGGGGCGCCGACTTATAAAAAATATTGGGGGAGCCCGCAAAAGCTCATGAATAATAAATAAGCTCATGAATATGCAGATAAAGTGGCGCCGCCTCCTCGTGAGCGAATAGGGGAGAGCGTGCTGCGCCTATTAATCAGCTCCGAAGGAAATTGGGTGGAGCTTTTGCTCGGGAGGGAGGGCAGGAGGCATGCAGCCCGACCCTGTGCATTTTGGGCTGGGGGAGGGGCGGCGGTGGCGCTCTGCTGGAGGGGCGCCCGAGATTATTGGGGGGGCAGAGCCCCCCCAAACAAATTTTTGAGGGGGCTCGGACCCCCTCAGGCCCCATGGAGTCGGCGCCTATGATTCCCACCCTTTGGGAGGAAGGTGGGGATATAAACTCAATTTTAAAAGATGACTCTGTCAGTACCAAGAAAGGCCTCACAGATTTGGGCATAAGGGTGGGACCTCCCTTCCAACACCTGTCCCATTCTCTGCCTAGAGATTATCCGAGACCCAAAGAAACAGCTCACAAAGACTTGGGGAAGGAGGGAGCTGATCACAGGCTTTCAGCAACATACCTGGGGCTTCTGCTGCCACCAGAACACCCCCCTTTGACGGAAAAGCTGAGTCGAGTTCAGCGAGAGATGGGGCATTTCCGTGGGGAAAGGTAGAGGGGCACAGTGCTAAAAGAGGAAGAGGAGGCTATTCCTGTTTTGCCTCAGGTAGCAGAAATGGGATGTATAATTATTATTATTTATTGAATTTATATACCGCCCTATCTTCTTCTTCTTCTAAAGCTCACCAAAACTGGATGTCAATGAAGACATTAAAGAAAATACCGCCCTATACCTGGAGGTCTCAGGGCAGCTGACAGAACAAAATCAAAATATAAATCCACAAAATATTCAATAATAAAAAGCCAATACCCCCCCACAAAAACCCACAGACTTTTAAAAGGATGTCAATCAAATCAACCGAAGGCCTGGTTAAAAGGGAATGTTTTTGCCTGACTTAGTCAACAGGTGAATAATGAAGGTGCCAGGCGAACTTCCCTGGGGAGAGCCTTCCACAGACAGGGAGCCACTGCAGAGAAGACCCTGTTCTCGCATTGATGCCACCCTTCACCCTCCAGACCTCTAGAGGAGGTGGCACAGGAAGGAGATGATCTCAGGGTCCAGGTAGGTTCATAGAGAAAGAGGTGGTCCTTGAGGACCCTGTGAAAATTGTGTTGAATGCACTTTGGGCAACTTCACCCTCAAGGAGGAAGAAGCCCGCTTTAATTTGGCCAGTGACTCATCTCAAAACAACTAGGAAACTAAAATAAAAACTATAGACAGGACTCTGAGGGTCCAACCCCCCTGCGATGCTGGCATCTCAACTGCAACATCCATGGCAGATGGCCATACAACTTCTGCTAACAAATCTCCAAGGAAGGAGAATCTACCACCTGCTGAGGGAGATCCACAGTGGAAAACAAAGTTCAAGGAAGCGTAAACCTGCAAGATCAGTTTGCTTGAATTACTCTGCTACCTCCCTCTGGCTCAGTTTCCTTTCAGGCAAGATCAAATGGGATCCACTTCTAAGACCCTCCCCTCCCAGGGCAGGGGCTTCCCCCACTTCAAACCACAAGAGCTCAGAGCAAGGCTGCCTCTGGTTGTGGCATCTGGCTAAACAACACAGGCAGTTCTGCTCAGTGGTCGGGAGACAAAGAGCCACAAAATGAGGAGGAATCTGAAGGAACCAGTAGTCTCCACCACCCTTTGGCCAGCCCTGTAGCAGACACAGTGGGGGGGCAGCCCCCCATATCAAGAGGGTTCAAGAGAGAAATAACAGGTCTTGCTCTTTAGTTCTTAAAGCTTTTAAGTTACATTGAGAATTTTTATGCAACAAGCAACTTTTAAACTAAAGATAGTATTATATCCATACCATTTTCCAAGAACCACAAGAATTATTTACAATAAAGATTCAACTAGGTAGCCGTGTTGGTCTGACGCAGTCGAAATAAAAAAATTGTCCAGTAGCACCTTAGAGACCAACCAAGTTTGTTCTGGGTATAAGCTTTTGTGTGCATGCACACTTCTTCAGATACACACTGTACAAAACGTAGTGAAAGGGGCAGTACAGAAATGGCACAGAGGAGCCCCCTGCATAATTTACAAAATCTACATTTTTGACAGGCAACAGGAAGGGGTTTTTTTTGGGGGGGGGGGGGAGTCAGAACTGTAAAGCAGGCGAACCTGATTATGAATGTGCCTGTGAAAGGGAACTCCTGAGCAAAACAACACTGGGAATTGCGGGTGGGGACCCCTCATTCAGACATCCCCCCCCCCGCAAATAAAGTCTGCTACACCCGTCCAGCTCCCACCCCCCAGGCCGCTCTCCAGAGTGTTTAGCTGAGTTTTCAGAGCGGCTGAGGGTTAGAGGGTTAGAAGAGGGAAGGTAAAAAATAGAAAAGGACTTGTACTCTGTCTGTCTGTCTCTCTCTCTCTCTCTCACACACACACACACACACACCAGAGTCTAAACGAAGCTGCGGGGGGGGCGGCAAGGCGAGTCACTTTCCCCCCCATGAATCCTGCCAACCCCTACAAGCTTTGTTTTGTTCTTTGCTTGAGCCCCGAGCCCAGGAGTGAAGCGGCCCCTGCCCCGGGCGGCATACAAAACAAGCCAAGTCTGGGAAACAGATGTCTGGGAAGGGATGCGGCTCCGCTTCGGACAAGAAACTCCCCGATCGCCCTTTCAGTGCCCACGAAATGCAATTCACAAAGTCTCATGTGTCCAGCCCCCCCCCCCGCCCCAAAGCTTAGTGCAAATTATTTTCTCCCCCCGCCCCAGAGCAGAGTCCTCACCTGCGCAGTCCAGGAGCAGCAGGTGGGCAGCCGCCCACAGGATCAGGGGGGGCCAGCGGAGGAGGAGGACCCCCATCTCCCCCCAAAACGAAGCGCCCTTTTCCTCCTCTTACTCCAGCGACGTCCTTCTCCCTCCGACTCCGAGACCCGCTCTCTGCCCCGCCCGCGGAACCAGCAGCAGCAAGAGCTGGGATTGGGCGAGGGGGAAATATTCCGCCAATCAGAAATCGGCGCGCTGATTGCGGCACCGGTCGCCAGGCAGAACTCGAGGCGCAAGTTTGGGAGCGAGGCTGGAGAGGGAAAGAGAAAGTGATTGCAGCTCCTCGCTGGGAATCGCCGCCTCCCTCCCTCCCTCCCTCCCTCCCTCTGCCCCCCCCGGCAGCTCTTCCTGTCCTGCCCTGCAGGGAGGGCGGAGGGGGGTGGCCAGGGCAGGATCCCAGGTTCAGTCCCCGCATCTCCAGGGGGGGGGGTCTGGGAATGTCCCCCTCTCTGAACTGGTGAGAGGGGCTGTGAGATCCCTAGCGAGGTGGACTCCTAGGCTGAGTCAGTTGCAGGGCAGCCTCCTGGGTCCTATTTTTAAGAAGCCCTCGGATGGCTTCAAAGATGGCTCCCTTCTTCCTCCACTGCCAGAGGAAGTAAATGCATTCGCATCCCACTCACTGGGTGTCCCTCGTGTCCTCCTTGCATGCTTCCTTACTGAGGCATCTGGGTGGCCACTGGGAGACCACCATACTGGACTCGATGGGCCCCTTTGGGGTGATCCAGCAGCCCGGCTCTTCTCCTGTGTCGCTCTATCTAGTGGCAGGGGGTTCCAGCGGTTAACTGTGTGCCTTGTAAAGAAATGCTCAGTGTAGCAACTAGGGCTGAACCTCAGGGTTGAAGTCAACACACACAGACACACACACACACACACACACACAGAGAGAGAGAGAGAGAGAGAGAGAGATATGACCACACAGAGAAGGGAAGCAGGTGCTGGGACGCCGACAAACATTTGGTTTTAGCACAGAGTCAGGCCAGAGCCCACCAGTTTGCCACAATTTCCTTTCCCCATGTGGTTTTTAAAGGGGCATTTTATATCCCCACATATCTCTGCTTCTTGCCCCAACATGAGTTTCTCTCCCCCTGCCTGGGACCCTCTTGAGTCTGCAGGCCCAGGGTGTTGGGGGTCAGGGAGGCCCCCTTTGCACAGCCAGCAAGACCCAGCGGCTGCCAAGGCCTCTTCTGGAAGGCCCTGAGCCCAGGCTGGGCGCTTGGCCCAGAGAGTGCTTGGCCCACATCCCACTGCCAGAAGCCTGAACGCTTGAAACATGAGCTAAGCATGGGACACACACAGAAGCCGCTGCCTTTTCCAGGAAATCAGGAAAGAGACAAGTAGTGGCCGCTCCTTGTCCAGGTACAAGGAAGCTTTGGATTTAAGGGGGGCGGCTGTGAAGTCGGAAGGTAAAGAATTATTTGGGATTTATTCTTTTCCCAAGCTGCATGATCTCTATCATCCTTATTTCCCCTTGTCTGATACCAAAATATTATTGTGAGTTTGGGGGGTGGTCTTAGTCTGCAGGATGCCTGAGTCCCTTCTAATTCCTGGATCCAGCCAAGGTTGAAATCTAATGGAGGGCTCCATTGTTGAACTATCTCGGTGGGATGATGGCCGTAGATGTCACCTAAGCACCCTCACTAGTATAACCAAAGAAGCCCTTGTGAAGAAGGAGGCTGGCTGTTTTGGGGGGGGGTCTCCTGACCCACTTTTGGGACTCAATGGGCTCAGTCACCTCAGGGACGTCTTAAGCTTCACTTTTCACCTGCTCCATCCAGTTTTTCCTGGACAGGGATAATCTGTCCACAATGATCCATATTCTCCTCACCTCCTGACAGGATTATTACAATATATGTTGTTGTTTTCAATACAGTAGGGATGTTTCAGCTGCTACAAGATAAACCTGAGAGGATTTTCACTGTCACAGCTCATTTGACCAAATCTCACCGGGGCCAAAAGACCCTCTGCCTGTTTGTCTTGTTCTGAGTTTAATACAAAGTGCTAGTCTTGTTTTAGAAAGTCCTCGGTGCCTTGAGGCGCCTTCTGCTCCCCTGCTCTCCTCTGTGGAGACTTTTCTCCCTCTCCTTTCCCCTCTTTGTGGAGGTGGAGTGAGCGATTACAACAACTAACGGCCAGGAGGAAAATGTTTTCTTCTCCACAGACTTTTAAAAGAGTTTTCAGGACTTTAGACATTGCATGTAGCTCTGTTTTCCTGCTGGATAGCCTTGTTATGTGGCTTTAAACCACCCTTGAATCAAGTTAGGGAGATGGTGGCATGAAGATGAACAAATAACAAAGCAGCTGCTTGAGGCAGCCCCTTCAGGAAGGAGGAGGCAGCCATTTCCCCTCCCTTTCTGCTTCACTGCCAGCCCTCCACAAAATGGCTTCCGTCCCCGACAAGCAGGCCGGGTGGGGCTGCCTCAGCCTCCCCGCTTCCCTCCCTGCAGAGGAGACCTTTGGCGCAAGGGAGAGCAGCCAAACAAGGCAGAAACCGAAAGCCACAGCAGCCCACAGATCAGGTTGCCTGACTGGGAGATCGGCAGGCAGAAATGGCGCTCAGGGGAAGACGCTTTCTCTCTCAGCACCCAGATGGCTTTGGCATTTGTCCCTCTTGGCCTGGCCTGGGCCCCCTCCAGCCTTGGAAAGACCCGTCTCCCTCAGGACAAAACCCTGAGCCTCCCCAGCTCTCTTTCTCAAGGCCAAGTGGCCAGGACTCCTGGGTCCCCTTTGGGAGGAGACTCGGCAGGAGCCAGGACTCCTGGGTCCCCTTTGGGAGGAGACTGGGCAGGAGCCAGGACTCCTGGGTCCCCTTTGGGAGGAGACTCGGCAGGAGCCAGGACTCCTGGGTCCCCTTTGGGAGGAGACTCGGCAGGAGCCAGGACTCCTGGGTCCCCTTTGGGAGGAGACTGGGCAGGAGCCAGGACTCCTGGGTCCCCTTTGGGAGGAGACTCGGCAGGAGCCAGGACTCCTGGGTCCCCTTTGGGAGGAGACTCGGCAGGAGCCAGGACTCCTGGGTCCCCTTTGGGAGGAGACTCGGCAGGAGCCAGGACTCCTGGGTCCCCTTTGGGAGGAGACTGGGCAGGAGCCAGGACTCCTGGGTCCCCTTTGGGAGGAGACTCGGCAGGAGCCAGGACTCCTGGGTCCCCTTTGGGAGGAGACTCGGCAGGAGCCAGGACTCCTGGGTCCCCTTTGGGAGGAGACTCGGCAGGAGCCAGGACTCCTGGGTCCCCTTTGGGAGGAGACTCGGCAGGAGCCAGGACTCCTGGGTCCCCTTTGGGAGGAGACTCGGCAGGAGCCAGGACTCCTGGGTCCCCTTTGGGAGGAGACTCGGCAGGAGCCAGGACTCCTGGGTCCCCTTTGGGAGGAGACTCGGCAGGAGCCAGGACTCCTGGGTCCCCTTTGGGAGGAGACTCGGCAGGAGCCAGGACTCCTGGGTCCCCTTTGGGAGGAGACTCGGCAGGAGCCAGGACTCCTGGGTCCCCTTTGGGAGGAGACTCGGCAGGAGCCAGGACTCCTGGGTCCCCTTTGGGAGGAGACTCGGCAGGAGCCAGGACTCCTGGGTCCCCTTTGGGAGGAGACTCGGCAGGAGCCAGGACTCCTGGGTCCCCTTTGGGAGGAGACTCGGCAGGAGCCAGGACTCCTGGGTCCCCTTTGGGAGGAGACTCGGCAGGAGCCAGGACTCCTGGGTCCCCTTTGGGAGGAGACTCGGCAGGAGCCAGGACTCCTGGGTCCTGTTTCTGGCAGGCAAAAGGCGTCTTCCTCTCTAGCTGACTCTGCCTTCAAAAAATGAATATTTCTATCCAGGTGGCATTCATGTTCTCCTCATAACGGCCCTGAGAGGCCCAAGGTCCCTGAGGGAGCTTCATGGCTGTGTGGGGATTTGAACCCAGGACTCCCAGGCTCCCATATCCCAGTCAAACCACAGCCCCACACTGGATCCTTGTAGGCTTCTCCACCTCTCAATACCAGGCCTGCAGGGACGTCCCTCCTGACATTATGTTTGTCCCCTTCTTGGTATTGTGCGGAAACAGCAACAAGTCTTCTTGCCCCTTAAAGACTAACAAATAGATGATGGCAGAAAAACGTCCTTGGTGTGTTTCTCTGTTCCAAACTGGATTGTTTCCCAGGGGACTTTGCCCCCTTCTGCCTCCCTCAGCAACCTCTGAGTCAGGTTGGAAAGTCCCAGGGCAGTTCCCACAACAAGGCCTTTTTATTTTTAATATTTGTTTTCATTTTTACTTATAAGATGAATAGCTGAGGGTGCAGTAAACAGTCCTTGGCAAGTTCCAATAATCTAAATTTTGTTTGCATGCCAAGCTAGCAAAGGAATCTCAAGTGACTGCATCTCAGGCTGCTTGACTGACATTTCTCACAGGAATTGAAAAAAACGGAGGCAGATTTTGCTGAGAAATTAGTCGTCCTTCATTAACACTGGGGTGTGTGTGTTTCCAGGGCGGATTCCTGCCCTCACACGCTCTCTCTGCCACAAGACACCCTCATCCATTTCTCCACAGTCCCTAGTTCAGGGGTCTGCAACCTTTAAGACAAAAAGAGCCACTTGGACCCGTTTTCAAAGGGGGAAAAAACTGGGAGCCGCAAAACCATTGCGACATTTAAAACAAATATATCTCCGGAGCCGCCATCTGACAGCGGGCGGGAAGGTGACATTGGGACGGTGCGTGACTAACGCACGCACCGCCCCCATGCGACGTCACAGCCAGTACAGCACCCGCCACAGTGGGGAGTGTCGGGGCGCACAATGCGCCTCCTCCCCTCGCTAGTATCCGCCCCGGAGCCGCGGCAAAGGTGTAAAAGAGCCACATGCGGCTCCGGAGCCGCGGGTTGCAGACCCCTGCCCTAGTTGTATTTCCTCGCTTTCCCCTTTTTGCGATCCTCCGCTGCCCCTTGCTGGCTGCTTTCTTCCCTGGCTGCAATGGAAATCAGGTGATTTCTAGGAAATCCTTCAAGGGACCAGTTGAAGCAAGTCACGGAATGCAAAAAAATGGTCAAGGTTCTCACATATGTCACAGATTTGGAATCGGTGCAAGTGGGTGTATGCCTACCTATGGTGTGGAAAAGCGGAAATATATAAAACTTTTACAAATCACGTAATCAAGAAAAAACCTATTTAGAGTATG